TTTAACACCACACACACACACACACACACACACACACACACACACACACACACACACACACACACACACACACACATATATATATATATATATATATAGATTTTGGATCTAGTGAGACCACCCCAATAATTAGGTTAGATCGTGAGATTCGAACTTGTTCATCTGTTCACATTTTCAAATTTTCCTTATGACAACGCAAAATTGTCTATTTATTTCTCAAAAAAATCATTTTAAATTGTGCTTTTTTTTTTTATGTGCTTCTCGTATGTGCATCAATGTAGGTAGTTTTTTGTTTTTATGTTTTGTGAGGATTGCCCTTTATTTTTTTAGGTGTATACATATTATCACATTTGGCTATGTGCATGTCGTTTACATGACCGTGTTTTGCTGTGTGCATGGTAGTTATGGCATGAGTGCGCAATGGAATATGTTACACACTACGTTTTCATTTAATATTATTATTATTACTTGTTCTCTTGATGTGTTTGTGTTTGGACATTTTTGGTGTGTTTGTGCATTAAGCTTGGGTATTAGCAACAATGTTGAAGAGAATCAAGATGTTGTGGTAGCTATCCCATCAACCGATGACTTTGTTTCTCCCCTGTTGTCGTGTCCAATCCTGCCCAAGCAGACCCGCCTTCGATGCTTCAGATGATGGGCTTGTTGCGGATGACGTAAAACTCTTCCTGGCTTCATGTTTCCTGGGATTTCCCTTGCACTATTGCGTATTGTTCCTTTTTTTCCTGGTAAAAAATGATGTTACACCCTCGCGCACACGCCCAACTGTACTACCGCACACGCCAAAAACTCAAAAATAAATAAGATGGGTATCATAAGCACTGTAATGGGTTTTCTTCTCCCAAAATGTTGAATCCCCAACCCTAAGGGCGCCCACACCTCGGTCCGATAGAGTATTTGGGAGGATGTAAATCACGGTGACTCAATGGTTCAGTAGACATGACCAAATGCCGGTGCGCACAAGGAATCTGCCCACTTTGGACATAATTCCCACACTGCCGCCGCCGAGGTTTGAACCTTTGTCTCTTCTCCCAAATGCTGCCCACTGAACCATTGAGCTAAACCCGTGTGAGCTGTAATGGGGTTTTCTTGTTTTTGGGTTTGGGAACACAGTTTGGATTCTGGTTACGTTGTTTTTTTTTTCTTTTTTTTTTTCTTCTGTGTATTTTTATTCTTATTCTCCTCATTTTGCATTCTTGTTTATTTTTGTTTTTAGTAGTTAAGGATTACCTTTTATACCAAGATGCATATGTTGTTGTTATAATTATAATTCGTTCAATCTTTAAATTTTGAATAAATTCAAAGTGTCGAAGCAATTTTAGTTCTATTTTTGTAATTACATTTTTTTATTGTTGAGAATGTAAATGTAATCTAGAGGATACTACTGCTTACTATTATCCACTATTAACATATTCTAATGTTGATAGTACATGGCATACTTGTAGTTATGCTAGGTGGAGAACTAGCACAAGCCCAACTGCAATAACGCACACGCCAAAAACTCAAAAATGATTTGTGTGCGCTATAGTGGTTGGGTGTATGCTCGGAATTCCTAATTGTTACACATAATTCACTCTACATTTGACATCCCTACCGTGTTATGCACACGCGAATTTGCGTAAATGTAAACTCAAAATGTTGATAGTAAATGTAATATTTTTTTCTTTCGTTTACTGTTTAAAAAATGACGGTACATTATAATGCACAGGCCCAACTGTTCTAATGCACACGCATACCACATCAACGCGCACACCAATGTAAAATTCTATTTCTATAAAAAAAAAAACAACTACATGAAGTAATGCACAGAGCAAATGCTTTTACATTCTATTTGTTTTAAACAAAACGGCTAAATACAACAGGTAGTCACACACACATCTAAGCACAATTTTTTTTTAAAAAAAGGCCCACGACATTATGCAAAGTTCTCGTTCCTTTAATTCGCACACACGCCATACCACACCATTGCACATACCTCCGTAAAAATCAAAGGACAAGTGCTTTTAGAATCTTTTTTTTTTTAACATGAATTCACACACACACCAAATAACAATTTTTGTAAAAAAAAAAAAAAAAAATCAAGATGCAATGTCCTCAGCCCTATAATATGCATACGCTATACCATCACCACCCCTAAAAATCAAATGACAAGTACTTTAAGAATCTTTAAAAAAAATACAACATGAATTCACCCACACACCAAATAACAATTTTTGTAAAAAAAAAAAAAAAACCAAGATGCAATGTCCCCAGCCCTATAATATTCATACGCCATACCACAACTATGCACACACCACCGTAAAAATCAAAGGCTCATGCTTTTGCATTCTTTTAAGAAATTAAAAAAAAAAAAGGAAAAAAACCAACATGAATTGACACTCACATCAAATAACAATTTTTTTTATATAAAAATAATAATAACAACATGATGTAAAGTCCGTAGCACAATAACTTGCACATGCAATACCACAAATGCACACACCACCGTAAATAACAATTTTGGTTTAAAAAAAAAAAACAAAACAAAACAAAGGACAAGTACTTTTAGAAAAAAAAAATTATAAAAACAACATGAATTCACGCACACATCAAATAACAATTTTGGTAAAAAAACAAAAAAACCAAAAAAAAAAAAAAAAAAAGAAGAAAGAGATGCAATGTCTCCAGCCCTATGATATGCACACGTCATACCACAACTATGCACACGTCATGCCACAATTATGCACAAACCACCGTAAAAATCAAAGGCCCACTGCTTTTACAATCTTTTAAAAAATAAAAAAAAAAAACAAAAAAAAAAAAACAATATGAATTCACACTCATAGCTAATAAGAATTTTTTTTTTTTAAAAATAACAATGCCTTGCAAAGTTCGCGGCATAGTAACTTGCACATGCAATACCGCACCCATGTACACAGCATCGTAAAAATCACCTAAACAAAAATTACAGAAGCACATAACCGTGTTATTATTCGCCGGAATATACACACTCCATGTAACACAAATGCACACACCCACGGACGTATTAATCCATCTCAGAATTCAAAATATAATTAATTATTTACATTAATAGGATCACTTATATTATGGTAAATATTCTATTTTAATTATAACCAAAATTAAACAGCATAATACAATTACTCTTTCACCCTTTCTTTCAAAACTATCCTTAAATAAATGCTAGTTGACTTTTAATCCTATTCATTCATTTTAACTTTTTTAATGGTTGAGATGAGATCTCATGATCTCATCTTATTAGGTGATCTCATGGGATCGAAAGCCTATATATATATATATATATATATATATATATATATATATATATATATATATATATATATATATATATATATGTATATGTATTGCAACTAATGATAATGTCTTTCACATTGGTCCACTTAGTGATAACGTTTGGTGCAACTAATGAGAATGCTAGGTTTACTTAATATTGATGTTCAGTGTACATTATTTGTTGCACTTTTAATACATTTTACATGCACCTAGGTGCATTATATTAAACTGTTACTTGTACTTTTAACACAATTTACTTGGACCTCAATGTTCAATTATTTACGAAAATGCCACCGCATTTTTTTAAAAAAATCAATGTTTCTAATCCGTTGGATCTGAACTCGTGTACGACTGTGAGTGGTTCTTAGTTCTCTCTTGCACAATCCGTTCTCGTGATTTTGCGTATTTTGATAATCTACAATATTGACATACTTTCTTAACAAACAGTTGGTGGGCAGATTAACACAGATAGATAATCTGACAAACAAACAGATAGACAACCAGATAAGCTAAAGAGCGGAAAACTAAAGCAGAAAGTAAATCAACACACAGGTTTGTTTACCCAGTTTCATACAGTGTGTATCTACGTTTCGGGGACAATCACCGATGGTCCAATCCACTAAATCAGAATCCAATGTACAAAGGTAGAGAAACGATCTCACCCAAGTGCCCCACACTAGCTCAGTACCCAATCTACAGAAGTTTAGTGGATTGTTGAAGACGAAGAGCCACGCATCTAGAAGTCTATGAAATCCCTTCAATGGAGAGCTAACTCTGATGCAGTCCGCTTTAATGACGCAGTCCAACACTGTCTCCCATAGCTGAGTGATCTTTGCGTCCACTGTTTAAGCACAGTTGGTTCTTCTCAAGTTCATCTTCTTAAATCACCATGAACTCTTAGCTCTTGAGAATATATGATAACTAGAGAGAGACTTTTAGAACGATGAGTGCTATTCTGGATTCAAGAGAAGTATTGTATGTTTGCGTAACCTTTCTTGAATCAACAACTCACAATATATATCTCTGGTTGAAGGAGTAGGACACGTAGTCAGAAATTCAAGCAGTTCCTTAATTAGATTACGTCCATACCCTTTGAGGTTTCTAATTAAGTATGAACTTTCTTGTAAATTCACCTCATGCCATAACAGCATCTACCAGCACATACGCTACTTCAATAAATGTCTTCCAAAGGCTGTAATTATTCAGAGACGCTTCTGATGGATTACCTAAGCAATAAGGTCTTCATTCTTCAAATGCAGATCAGACTGACAGTGATCTACAGCCTATTCTAATTTGCCATAATAATAATAATGCCAATTACATGTTGAGGTTTTTAGACTAACCAAAACACTAACAAACTCTCCCTTTGGCTATTATTTGGCAAAACAACTCAATAAAACAAAATACAAGATGTTAAGACATTTTAAACCAAAAGGCCAAAAACACGCTAGCAGTTATACTTAAGTAGTCAACATGACATACCAAAATAAAATATCATCAGCACACAAGCCGTTTTGAAATAGAACAGAACCAAAAGCAAATCAACAGATCAAAGTTTAAACAGACCAATGATCCATGCCCAGACAAGGCCAGAAGGGACAGAACTTCAAACACCAACCGACACCAATTTTTTACTCCCCCATGACTACTAACTACTCTCCCTTTTTGCTAGATAATGGACAAAGTAAGTTCTAATTATCATAGGAACCTTCTTCACCAGCAGCTTGAGTAGAGTCAGGCATAAGCTCAACTTTAGATAGACTCAGTCGAAGTAGAATAGTAGCTAGCTCAGTGCGAGCAGCATGGAGCTGAGTGTTAATAATAGTGCTAGCAGTTTGGAGCTCATCAACATGAACCTTCAGGATCTTAGATAATCTTAGATCATTCACGTAGGGAGTGGGGTCAGCAAGATCACTAGAAACACCTTGTGGAAGTTCAACTGGTTTCACATCTCGAATGTTCTTGCCACCAAGAAGTCTAGAATAAACTGTGTAGTACAGGGTGGTGCGTACAACCTCATTTGTCATAGGAACAAGCCCTTGATATGTCAGCATTCCGAAGACCAAGTTTGGATAAGGCAATTTAACCTTTTGCTCCCTTGGGTGAATCAGTGTCAGCATGTGGTCGAATATCCACTTGCCTAGATCCACAACTTTCTTAGTGCCAATCCAAAAGATTAAAGCTGCAAGAGATTTACTAACAACGTAGAAATGGGCTGATGGCAACCAGTTGTGCAGAGCAATCCTGTGCAATATCACAAATTTTGAAGTAAAATCGGAACTTGACAAAGCATCTGCATCAGAAGAGGGCCATTCAGTTAGAACACCACCAGTCAAAGTCTTTGCAACCAGATCCCAGTCATCAATTTCATCTTTATCTACTATAGGCAAGCCATAATATTCATTAATAGCATCAGAACCAAAGACAAACCACTTTCCTCGGACAAAGATTTGCAGGCATCTCTCGTGAGTTAAGTCATCAATGAACTCAGACAGATTGCATAAAAACTCACAAGTGAGAAGTTTGGAGTATGGACCAACTTTTTGCACAGTACTCATCAAACCAAGTTCTTCCAAAAGAGGCACTACATCACAGACTGAGTTCAGTTGCTTGACATCAACTGACCTTTGAACAATAAGCTCTCTTTTGATCATGGAAGGCCATTTCTCTTTTGTCTCAGTGTCAACAAAGATTAGAGTATACACATATGAATCTGGACTCTCAGGTACTTTAGACGTGAGACTTCTTCCCCTAGATTTGGAGGATACTTTGGCTTTCTTTCCCTTAGGAACTGGAGGTGGAGCAGCTGGACCTTTTCCTTTTACAAAGGATCTCAACGTCTTAAAGACTTGCTGAACAGGTGGATCAGCTGATTCAGACACAGAGGTCTTTCTTTTCTTTTTAGAACTAGCGGCTATGACAGGCTCAGAGGTAAGATCAACCAGGAATTTCTCAGGAGCACCTTTTCTCTTAGACTTTCTAGAATCTCTTTTTGGAGACTCATCAATAGGGGTAGTGGAAACGGAATGACTAGTTTTAGAGATAGTGGGCTGAGAAGAAGTAAGAATGTTCTGGGTATCTCTAATTTTGAAACTGGTTAACTCAGGATGAGCAGTCTCAACAACAGATTGGTTGACTTCATGAACAACAGCCATTACAGAATCACCCATCTTCTTGGTTAGCTCAGTGAGTAACAGATCATCATCATCAGGAGCAACAGACTTAGGAGTTAAGATTTTAGATGGAATAGGAACAAATTCAGTAGGCTGGTTTGCAAAATATTCAACAGTTTCTAGACTCTCAAGAGCAGCTTTAGGAGTATAAATGGGAATATCAACATCAGATTCAGTGGGGACAGACGCAGTAGGATCAATGGATTCTTTTGAAACAGTGGGCTTGACAGAACCATCAGAGACAATAGCATCAGGCATATAAATATCAGCAAGAACAACAATTTGTTTTGAAGTAACATTATCAACCGACATGGGAACAGACTTATTAGACATATCAGATTTAGGCAAATCAGACTCAACTTTCTCAGATTCAAGCAAACTAGGCTTAGGCACATAAGATTGTCAAGCATGAATAACTGGGGAAACCAATGAAACATTTGAGACAGGGGCAATAGATACAGACTCTACAACATTATCAGGCATATCTGGAGAGATAGTAATAAAAGTGGATGGAATAGATTTAGACCTAGTTTCAAGAATCTCCTTCTGTCGTTGTACCTCGTCATGAGCCAGTTTCTGGTAATGCTCCTGAGTAGATGATCGTTGACGAATAGTATCTTCCCATTCAAAGCTTTCTTCCAAAAGTACTTTAGAAACGCTCCAGCCCTATTACCGTCTTCTGGATCATCGATAGTTGCCGGAGAGACATCACTGTCTATGTTAGATGCCATCAACATCAGTGTAGTAGTGTCATCATCTGACATTCCTTCAAGGAATTCCGGAAAGTTGGAGATTATTGTCACAATGATCTCGTCTCTAAGAACCGGGTCAAGCTTCAGTTTGTTCTTCATAGCAAGTTGAAGAAGCGATTTGACATGCTTGAGAGAATTCTCAAGAGAATGATCATTCATGTAGAACTTAATCATCATATTCCTCACTACGTCAGCCATGGATTCTGAGGTTTTTTTTTTTTTTTTTTTTTTTTTTTTTTTTTTTTAGAGAGGGAGTGGAGTTGCAATAGGAAAACCCTAAAAAGAAACTTAGAGATTTTCAGAGGGTTTGGGAGAATTCGAATGAGTTTAACCTTTGGGTTTTTTTAACTAAATGGAATCGGATAATGTTTAGAGAGAGAAGGGGGTAATTAATGCGATTGATGTGATGGATAAGCAAAAGCAGTGTTACTGACACAACGGTACAACGACATTTTAGGCATGGGACGGACTTGTTCAAATAATAGGGTTGGATTTGAAAATATAGGAAATTCGAATCCGTATATGAAATCAACGGATAAGATCAACTCGAATAGGGGAATACTGACTATAGTGGACTCAATTGGTAAAGGATAGACAAAAATAGGAAACTTTTTAAACCGAGAGCACATATCCTTCTTCTGATAAGATAGACAGACTTAGTTATCCATTCGACAGACCCCTAGAGCAGATCTGAGAATCTCAAACCGATTTGCATCAAGTGGTTTAGTTAGTATATCCGCCAGTTGTTTGTCAGTCTTAACATATTCCAATTCAATCTCCTTAGTTTCAACAAGATCTCTAATGAAATGATGTCTTATATCAATGTGTTTAGTCCTTGAATGTTGGACAGGATTCTTGGAGATATTTATGGCAGTTATGTTATCATAGTAAAGTGTCATGGATCATTGTGACGGACCATAGTCCAGCAGCATTTGTTTTATCCAAATCAATTGAGTACAGTAACCCCCAGCGGCTATATACTCTGCATCAGCAGTACTCAAGGAGATAGAGTTATACTTCTTACTTAACCAATATACAAGGTTTTTACCTACAAAGAAGCATCCCCCAAAAGTACTTTTTCGATCATCAACATTTCCTGCCCAATCAGTGTCACAGAAAGCCACTAAACAAATGTCACTCTCTTTTGAATACCATAAACCATATTGAACAGTCCCCTTGACATACTTCAAAATCCTTTTGGCAGCTATCAAATGAGATTCTTTGGGTGCTGATTGATATCTAGCACACATCCCAACACAATACATAATGTTTGGCTGACTAGCTATTAAGTAGAGAAGACTTCCAATCAGACTTCTGTACAGAGTAGAATCCACTGGTTGACCTGCATAATCTTTTGATAACTTTGTTGAAGTAGAGATAGGTGTTCTAGGTGATTTGCACGATCCCAACTCAAACTTCTTAATCAGATTCTTGGCATACTTTTCTTGAGAGATAAAGTATCCTTCCGCGCTTTGTTTCACTTGTAGACCCAGAAAATACGTCAGTTGACCAACCATAGACATTTCAAACTCTCTCTTCATAACATCTACCAAATCTTCAGTATACTTCTGTAGAGTAAATCCGAATACAATATTGATAAGCTTAATTTCTAGACATTATTTAGAGTAATTTTAGTTAGTGATTTGCATAAATAAATTAAGTTTTAAGGTTAATTTTATTACAAATATTATATTTAGTTATATGTTACTAGTTTAGACTAGTTTACATTGATTTTAATAACTATTAGGCTAATGTTACGTTTTTATTAATTTAAATAAGTTTTTTGTAATATTTAGGTTTAATTAAGTATGTCATTAAATTAGGTTATAATTATTTTATTTTATATTATTTTGTTTTGTTTTTTTAGGGATTTGCGCATGCAGTGGAAAGAGAGAAAAAAAAGAGATAAATTTAGGGATTTGTTTTTTTTATGTGAGTTCGGCAGAACACTTACGAAAGAGAAAAGAATAGAGAAAAAAAAAGCTTGGGAGCGGCAACGGATCGGAGCTTCAATCGCAGCTAATTCAGCTATCATTTCTTAGGCTTGAATTATTTTTCTTCGTTGCTTTATTTCTTGTTTAGTGAATTTCATTTTTGGTCCTATTGTTATAGGGGCTTTTTCAATTTTAATCCACCATAATTATTTTTGCCACATTGCGTCCACTATTTTTAAAAGTGTTTCAATTTTAGTCCATTTTAAGATTTTTCTTGGACTAAAATTGGAACATTTTTAATAATAGTGGACGCAATGTGGCAAAAATAATTATGGTGGACTAAAATTGGAATGACCCCCCTATAATAGTAGGACCAAAAATTGAATTCACTCTTGTTTAAATTTTCAGAATGATATTTCTTGAACTTTCCATACATTCAACTATGATTCTGGGCTAGAACTTTAATTAGGGATTTGGATTAGCCTAGAGTAGATTAATTGACTATTCTTCATGTGTTGATTATTTTAATTTCAATTAACTAATTGAGCTTGATTATATTTATTTTATGTATTTTAATTGTGAATTGTGTGACTGACCATTGCATAATTCTAATATTAGGGTTCATAAGAAGAACTGACAGGTGAATTATGAACCTAGAACTCGTAAGATAAACACAATTGACCTAAACTAGACATAGCTTTAGGTATTTGTGGTGATATTTGATTATTGCTTAATATGTTTAATTAATGCTGGTGAGATATTGACGGATGATCACAGTTAATTGGATACAAGCTCGACGGAGTATTAGGATATATTTGAAGTAATCATCACTATAGTCATAAGAATCAATACTTAGGAGAGTTAGTTAATTATCTAATAGGTGAACCCAAATCCCTAGTCTTCTCTCAATTGGAATTTTCTTTGCTTTAATTTCATAAATATTCTTTTCAATTACATTAATTCTATTTCTTTGCATTTTTTCTTATTATCAAATTGATTATTCAAGATAACAGGTAATAGTGTTCTTCGTGGGATCGACCCTGGAATACTCCAAGAATTTATACTGTGATTGACTCTGTGCGCTTGCAGATTATAGCAATCAAGTTTTTGGCGTCGTTGCCGGGGAACACTTTATTAAACTGTTTTCTTTAAGTTTTTCTTTTCACCTTTATTTTAGTTGTTAGGTTCGCTATTATTTTATTTTTATTTTTATTTAGTTTTTATTTTTCTATTTTTATTTTGTTTGTTTATGAACTTAAAGGCGATAAAAAAGACATAAGAACGTTGAATTATTTCCTATTGATCTTGAAATTGAGCGTACTTGCTCAGGGTACGAAGGCTGCTTGAAATGGCTGAAAACAATAGTGTGGGTCAACAAGATGACCGTATACCACCAATAGTTCCACCTCCTCAAAATCAAGCAGCTCAACCACGTTTTCGAGACATCCAAATACCGGTAATAGCTGTTAATCCTTCTTGAATTCAATTATCTGATGCAGCTAGAAATTATGAACTGAAGACTTTCCATCTGAATATGCTCCCTACCTTTAACGGTTTGGGAAGTGAAGATGCTTTGGGTTTCATGTGAGAGCTCTATAGTACAGTAAAAAATTTACCGTTGAATAATTTATTTGAAGAAGAGCTTAGAATCAAATGTTTTCCGTGTTGCATGAGGGGTGATGATAGGCAGTGGTTGTTAAATTTACCAGAGGGTTCTTTAAGAACTTGGGATGATGTTTACAATGCTTTCATGTTTAAATATTATTAATCTCAAAAGACAATGGACTATAGGAGTAGGATGTGCACTTTTACTCAAAGAGAGGGTGAATTATTTCATGAAGCATGGAATCGTTTCAAATTGCTTTTGACAAAATGTCCACACCATCAATTCCCATTGTTATTGTTGACACAATTCTTTTATGATGGTTTAACTCCTAATTGTCAGTCTCTTGTAGATACTGCTGCAGGTGGATCACAGGTGATAACAATAGTGATGAATTAGAAGCTATCTATGAGAACTTAGCTAGTAATTCTCAACAAAAGCCAGTGAGAGGTCGAAGAGCTGATGTGCATGAAATTAGCACACAATCTGAGTTGACAACACAAGTGGCTGAATTGACTAAACTGATTAACTTGTTGATGACTCGTGATAGTTCGAATCGAGAATTTTGTGCTTATTGCAATACATATGGTCATAATTCTTCTATTTGTATGAATGCAGAGTCATCGCAACCATCTTATGAAGAGGTCAATTACATGGGCTCCAACATGGGTAGGCAACCACCAAGAAATGATCCATTTTCCCATACATATTCCAGGTTGGCGAAATCACCCTAATTTCTCATGGAGAGAGATCAAGGTAATGCAAGACCAATGGGACCACCCGGATTCCAGCAACAAGGACCATCAGGATTTCAGCATCAGTAGTATAGACCTTTCCAGCAGCCACTTGCACCACAACAGTCTCAACTTCCTGCTCAAGAGAAGAAGCCTCAATTGGAGGAGATGTTCATGCAATACATGGCTAGCCAGGACACTATGATGAAGAAAATGGATGCAGAAATTGATAAGGTTGCTCAGTCCAGCCAAGCATCCATTCATAATTTAGAGGTGCAAGTATGTCAGTTGGCTAAATTAGTTGCAGAAAAAGACAGAGGTAAGCTTCCTAGTAACACTGAAATAAACCCTAGGGAAGGAACTATGGCTATCACTTTGAGAAGTGGTAAGATGTTGAATGAAGCTTTGAAAGAAAAAGAACCCATGAGTGTTGAAAAAGAAAGTGATAAAGAGGAAGAGCAAGTGCCTAAAGAGAGTTCTAGTGATCAAAACCTCACTTCCTCTACAGTAAAACCTTATGTACCTCCTATTCCATATCCACAAACGCTACAAAAGAGGAACCAGGATAATAACTTTAAAAGATTTTTAGAGGTTTTTAAAAAATTGCAGATTAATATTCCTTTTGCAGAAGCACTTGCCAAATGCCATCTTATGCCAAGTACATTAAGGAAATTGTGTCTAATAAAAAGAAACTGGAAGAGTTTGCTACTGTGAATTTAAATGAGGATTGTAGTGCTATTTTGCAAAGCAAATTACCTCCTAAGTTAATGGATCCAGGAAGTTTTTCTATTCCTTGCACTATTGGTAATACTGTCATTGATAAATGCTTATGTGATCTAGGTGCAAGTATTAACCTTATGCCTTTAACTCTTTTCAAGAAGTTGGAAATAGCTGAAATGAAGCCAACAACAATCTCTCTTCAACTTGCTGATAGATCAGTCAAGTACCCACTTGGAATAGTGGAGGATATCTTGGTAAAAGTTGGTAAATTTTATTTTCCTGCTGATTTTCTGATTTTGGACATGGGTAGTGATACAGATACATCTCTTATACTTGGTAGACCATTTTTGTTAATAGGAGGAGTAATAATTGATATGCCTTTAGGGAAATTGATTTTTAGAGTAGGAACATAAAAAGAGGAATTATCTATCTCTAAAGCTGTAAAATTACCAACTTTTGATGAATCATGTCTTTTTGTCGATGTTATTGAGAAACCTTCAGAAGAAGTATTTGTTCAACATGCACCTAGTGATCCATTGGAAGCATGTCTAATAGAAAAGGAGGAACCAGGAGTTGTTGAGTCTATGATGAGATTAAAGTGTCAAGGTCATTTTCCTACACACTTAATGGGAAGTATGAAGATTTAGATGGAGGCAACTCTTTTTCATTACTTTTAAATGAAACACCACCTCAACTTGAACTTCAACCACTTCCATTACAGTTCAAATACAATTTTTTGGATGACAATGTTATTTTTCTTATGCTTTATTATGCTCATTTACTTCATGCAAAAGAAGAGAGAATATGGAGAACATTAACTAAAGCTTGGCATGACAAAAATAATTTTTGGAGAGAATTCAAAGTATGGCAAGAAGTTAAGTTGTCTAATGAAGCGTAGTAAATTTGCAAACAAATAAATACTTGAAGTACGGGTAGTCGAACCACAGGGAAGTGGGACTAAGCGCTAGCTACTAGACTACTCACGTGAAGCTAGTCCTAACAAAATAGGTGATTTTGGCAATTGAGAAAATTAAATAGCTAAATAAACAGATTGATGAAAATAAATGAGCAAAATAGGATTCCTGGGATCTAAGTGTTTAATCCCCTAGTGCCAATCAAAGAAGTAATATTTAATTCAGTTCTAAACCTGTGTGAGAATGCAGATGTGGAATTGAATTACTCCGGTAATCTCAATCCCTGGTGATTATCCACTCCCGTGCGACAAACACTCAATAAGAACAAGAAACGGCATTCGTTAATTCCTAATTACCACCATCTCCCGAACTGGCAATAATTATTAATTAAATTCCCTAAAAAATTTGCCCTTTCCCAAGGCGCAACTGTCAAGTGCAAACGAGTGTGCCCTAATTTATGCCTAACTCCCGTTCAGACATGAATATGGCTATGAAGCAAGCAATTTAGGCCTTTAATTACTAGCAACAACATTCAGATACGCGATTGCAACACAAGTAATAAAAATTGTCATAAATATATTAAAGAAATTAAGCTCTTGGCACATAGGTTCATAATATAAACACATTCACCTAGAAATCCCTAAGGTGTTTTAGCCACTCATGGCCATAATAACATTCAAATCAAAATCAGGAATAAACAAAACAACGATTGAAGAAAAAGAAAAAAGGGAAAGAATTCTCTCGAATCTTCCTAGCGATTTCTCTACTCCAAGGTCGATTGTAGATCTTGATCTTGTTCCTCTTGAATTTGCTCTATTCTTGTCTCCAAAAATCTCTGAATAAAAATTAGGGTTGAGGAAGGTGGAATTTTATAGTTGCAACCAAACCCGGAGAGAATAAGAATCCTGTGTAAAATTGGACTGAAATTGTATCTGGACCGAAATTGGAATTCTTTATTTTAATAAAAGAAATTGCTGCACCTTTTTCTTAATTTGGAAAGTGAAATTGAAGTTTGAATTTAGAAACTTGAAATCCGCGCCTTGTATTTGAATTTGGAAAGCATCAACTTTTGATTAGGAAACAAGCGCCCTTTGACTTGGATTTAATTGCCGCTTAAAGGGTGATTCTATTTGCACCACCCTATTTGCTATTTACACCACCCATTTAATAAATGTAATAGCTTTATAGGTGGTGCAAATAGAAAAGTGCTATTTGCACCACCCTCATTAATTAAACATTAATATTTATTATTTATTTTTATTTAATAATCAAATTATTAATTATAATTTAAATAAAAAAAAAAAACTAAAATCATTTGCCCTTCTCCGGTGAGAAGCGACTCAGTTACACCTCCACCTTCGTCTACCTATCCACCTCCACCGTGGAATAAAAAAAAAAAAAAAACTAAAATCCTTTGCCCTTCCCCGGTGAGAAGCGACTCAGTTACACCTCCGTCGTCGTCTACCTATCCACCTCCGCCGTGGACTTCCGGCGAACCACCGCCTAGAACCTTATGCTCCATCCACTTCTCAATCATGCACGCCCGTCGGAACCCCGCCGCGTCGTCTTCAAGAAAGCCATAATTTTTATAGCTGCCCTTAATCACAGAGCAGTTACTCTGCTTATTCTTCCTCATGGAATCTCGAAAACCCACCAAATCTTCTTCCTCCCCTTGGCCCCCGCCGTCAATGGAGCGATAAATAGCGTCGAGCAGAGTGGAGGAGAAAGAAGGGTTAGAAGTGGTAATCTCCCTGTCTCTCCTCTGCAAGCCATAGGCATCCATAGCTATATAGAGAGAGGGCGGTGGGAAGCAGAGATAATCGAGTAGTGTCTGGGGTTGGGGGGGTCAAAAGCTGCAGAAAAAAGACAGAGAAATGATGGCAAGAGACAAATTACAGAGGAGAGCAGAGAGAGGATGAGTAGGGAAGGTGGAATGAGGAGGGGGAACAATGGAGACAAGAGTCATTGATTATGGGGTAATTTGGATTCCTGGTACAGAGCTTGAAGAAAACTATAATGGCACGCCTGAGAGAGAGAAAGAAAGATACCTTGGTCGCCTTCTCCGGTGAGAAGGTAGTTCCTTGCCTTCTCACGGAGAAGGTGACGCTTCATCTTTTTTTTTTTTTTAAAATTTATTTAATGTTTTGTAATTAAATTTTAAATTATAAAATTATTAATTATACCTCATAAATGAGGTTTGACCAAGTGGTGTAAATAGCAAAATGAACTCTTATTTGGCTATTTACACCACCTATATAATTAGGAAAAGTTTCACATTTTTACACTTTCAAGGATACTTTATACCACTTTTGGTCAAAGGGTGGTACAAATAGCAACACCCCGCTTAAATCATAAACCTTCTTTTCGTTCGGCGCACAGCGCTTTTGTTAATTTAGCTTCGCGTCGAGTGATGGCTCGACCTGTCGAAACCTGATGGTCTCGACCAGTTGCACTCTGGAATTTTTGGACGTGTCGAACCCTTAGCTCGACGCGTCGAAAATGCTGTGTATGTGTCCTTCGGTCCATTTTGACTCCAAATTTGTCCTAGAACTTCTCTTGCTCATAACTTTGACCTGTAATGGTTCAAAATACTAACAAACACCGTAAAACATTCAAAACAAGTGTAAACCATAACTAAATGATAAAACAAGGGATTATGCAATTAAAATGCCAAGATTCTGAACTAAAGCCTAATAAATATAATCAAATCAATACTAGAAATATGCACAATTGGCTCACATCACCTCCCCCACACTTAAGCCTTTGATTGTCCTCAAGCAAAACTAAGAATAAATCACAAGTCAAAACATACAAATTACTCCTACTCTCTCTTGCACAACCTTTCAAATTAAACCTCCAACCTACTTGTTACAAGACAACAAGTTTCAAGAATCAAATTAGTTTGGCACATAAGACCCATTCTCAAGCCAATAACCAAGCACTGAGAATTTAAAGTACGTGAGGATCAAGTGTGCACAAATACTCAGTTGAGATTATGCAAAACACGGCTCATGAACGAGATCCCATAGGCTTGCCCTTCATACTCCTCTAGATCACATCTAAGAATGCATGCTAAGATCAAATAAGACTTTATTAAGATTATAATGGGACTACGGGTGATGGCTAACAAAGAAGTGGTATGGAAAAATTAACAAAAAGAGAGAACGTGACAATTTATCTAAACTTTTCAAAATTGGAAGAGATGAGATAATCACAATTTCAAGGAGCAAATTTCTTTTAAGAACAAAGCAACTCTTTGGTGAAGTGGGGGTCCAAACTCAAAATTTCCAATCTTTTCTTCACTTTTCTCAATTTTTTTTTTATTCTTTTCTTTGGATTTCTTTTGGATTCAGTAAGATAATTTTAATCCAATCATTAATGACCCCCACACTTGAACATTTGTAATATCAGCTCGCTGCTTTTTGGCACAACTCCACAAAACTCTTCTTACAAAAATAATAAAGATAAAAGTTTCATTCTCTCAAAGGGTGGAAGGGAAATATTTGACCAAAGGCTAAGGGTTATAATAACGGGGGTAAATCAAAGAAAAACAATCACAATAAGGGAATAAGTGCTTAGCACTTATTTAAATAAACAAAAGGCACAATGGGGACACAAATGATAAAAATATATATAGGGACAAGTTTAAAGGCTATGGCTAAACAAAAATGACCTAAATCACTTCTAAACGTGCAAAACTTAGACATCACTTAGGGAGTAATGAGCAAGTTCTAGCAAAACACCCATGACCAGAATCTCACATAAGCCTTCACTAGCAATGCATAACACACAAGATCAAGAATTAATCCAATTTATTAAGTGGTTAACAAAGCTATTGGCAAGGGAATAGATCAAATATTTGTTACACCTCAAATCATCAATCACAAATTGAGATGCAGCAAACACCACTAAAACAAACCACAAACCAACAAGAGAGAGTAATTGCAATTGCATGCTGGGACAAGTAATTTATTCACCAAAAATAGCATATGAATCATCCAAGCAAAAGCAAAAATTTTAAAATTTTAAAAGTATCCCCAAATTAATGACTCCTCCCCCACACTTAAAAATTTGCAGCGTCCCTGATGCAAAACAAAAGAAAGGAGAACAAGAGAAAAGAGAAAGCCACAATTACACGAACTAAAAAGCAATAAAACTAAATAATACGAAACTAGAAAGCAATAAAACTAAGCTAGAAAGAAAAAAATAGGAAAGAAATAAAAGATAACATGGGGTGCCTCCCATGAAGCGCTATTGTAACACCCCGTGTTACGACCTTCAATCCCGGATTAATTATTTAATTAATCCCGTTAATAATAATTAAATATGATTTAATTCGGTTAGGTTTTCCTTTAATTAATTAATAAGGCCCACCATGAACCGTGGGCCCTTGCCTAAATTAGAGCCTTAAGCCTATTAGGAATAAAGAAAGTAAACCTTTTACTATTCAGATTCTGATTAGGAATCCTAGACCTAGTTATCTATTAGGAATAAAGGAA